ATTAGATTAATCATATATGAGATTAATCCGATATTTATACAATATAAACATAATGTTACAACTTGTATATGTACAAAAAAACGCAAATGCACAAGTGAACTCGAAGTAAGTTACGTGCTAACCAGAATGTGTAACTTATGTTGTGGATGCGCTCTTCCCGCAACAACGCGCTGAAACACGACAAATTAAGCCAAAGAATTCACAACGTTTTATTATAATAGTGTTCTCATTATAATGTTATATATGCGCTGCTGTTTGAGCTGCGCTGAGCTAAAGATGATCACCGGTAAACTGAAGCGCTCTATTAGCCAAACGCGTTCTATATGTGATAAATCAGACCTATATGCATAAAATAAACACAATATTACAACGTACAATTGCACAAAAGGCTGCAAATGCACAAGCGAAAATAACTGCGCTTGTCATGAAGGTGCAGCTCCGTTGTGAATGCGCTCTTCCCGTAACAATGCGCTTAAACACAGGCGCACAAAGATTCCATTATTTAACAGTAATGTTCTTATTATATTATGACAGACTTTTCCTGCACATGTTGCACTTCACTGTATTTTCCTTTTCAAAGTGATTCCAATAGTATTTCAAGCAATTAAAAACCATCATGGCGAACAGTGCGCATCTGAAGTGTCTCTGCAGGAAATAATGCATTATTTATCGGCTTTAATATATCAGTCAAAAAATGTTATCGGTTCAATAACGATAACATTAAAATTAACATTTATCGGCCGATGCCGATATGGTGGCCGATATATCGTGCATCCCTATCAAATACATTTTAGTATATTTATTTTTCACTTGAGTTAGGGTATACAGCCTTAAGACTTTAACACATTACAAATATGATATGTAAATGTATTTTTAGTATACTTGGCATGAAATAAATGTATTTCAGATTAGTGCTGGGCGGTATGACAAAAAATTTATATCACAGTATTTTTCAAAATTATACCGGTTTCACGGTACATGACGGTATTTTTTTTTCATGCATGACCGGGTGTTAACCATATTTTCTACTGATTGAGAGGAAATACTGCAGTATGTTGACTTAGAATGCTCTATTTTACTGTCATGATGAGTGAATATTGTCAAAAAATACCACACTAAATAGTGACTAAACACGACCCCTTTTAATACTTTGTCAGTATGAATATTCTATGGAAAAAAGCCGCTAAAAGGGTCTGAAAGTTGCTAAATCTAGTGCTGAAGTCGCACTTGTGAGACGCGGGAGCTGATGGCAGGGGGCGGGGGATATTTGATATTTGTCAATGTGGATATTGTGGATGAGTTCTTCTGTGTCATCACGTTCTGTTAGTTCTACAGCTTCAGTTTCTGAACTTTCACGCTTAGTAACACATACAGCTGTTCCCTCACCACAGTGCAACAGTGAAAAGGGACCCCTTTCAAACAGTGTTGCGTTCCGAACCTTGTTTAAGCGACATATTGGGTATTATTGACAAAATACCGTATTGCGGTATTTTAAAAATTCATATCATAACAAAAATAAACACCGGTATTCGGTATGAACCGGTATACCGCCCAGCACTATTTCAGATACACTCACTGTAATCGGTAGAGGTCCCTGTGAAACATTGCAAGGGCAACATACATTAGCAAATTCATATACTGTAGATCCAAATGTACTGCAGTATGATGTGTTATTGTGAAAAGCTTCTGAAAACGTGTAGTGTGTCAGACAAACAGACAGATAGAGCAATGTGTAGTGCAGTTATCTGTAAGGGGTGAAAACTATGCACCATTAAGTCAAAATTGTGACCCTGGAGCACAAAAGCAGTCTTAAGTCGCTGGGGTATATTTGTAGCAATAGCCAAAAAAAACATTGTATGGGTCAAAATTATCGATTTTTCTTTTATGCCAAAAATCATTAGGATATTAAGTAAAGATCATGTTCCATGAAGATATTTAGTAAATTTCCTTCCGTAAATATATTAAAACTTAATTTTTGATTAGTAATATGCATTGCTAAGAACTTCATTTGGACAACTTTAAAGGTGATTTTCTCAGTATTTTGATTTTTTTGCACCCTCAGATTCCAGATTTTCAAATAGTTGTATCTCGGCCAAATATTGTCCTCCTATCCTAACAAACCATACATCAATGGAAAGCTTATTTATTTATAGCTTTCAGATGATTTAAAAAAATTGACCCTTATGACTGGTTTTGTGGTCCAAGGGTCATGGACTTGAAATTGAAATTGAATATCGAGAAAAAAAAACTCTGCCTCAGAGAGAATGTAACATCTCTCTCAGTGTTTTCAGTAGGCATAATTCTGTTACAGACAGACAAATAATTCTTCCCTCTATTGTAAGACAAAACCCTTAGCAGTCATATCGCTCAGCGGATTCCCTCGTGTGATGTCCTGGAGTTTCAGCACTGGGCCTGTCTGAAGTCAACCATGTTTGAAATCTACAATTAGCTGCGGTCTCGGTGGGGACTGAACACCCTGTTTGCTCTTGATAGCCTGGAGTGAAAACATGCTCCTGAGAGACTGCTCAGCTGTGCCTGCTTCACTCCGTTTCCCTCCACAGCGTCCGTTAAAGATCGGAGATGGGGGTCATCAAGCAGTTTTGGAAAATTAAATAAGTGTAATCGCATTAGTGAACCATGTGAACAACACGAAGAGGAGTGAAGACTGTGGCTTCTGTTCTGTGTTAAAGCAATGTTGCGGGTTCAGTGCAAGTTAAACCCATTCAACAGCATATGTGGCAGAATTTTGATTAGTGCAAAAATTAATATTGACTTCAAAAGGCAAAAAGCGAGGTTATTTACAATAGAAAATGAGTGGGAGTGGTTTTTGGAGAGTTTAAAGGCAGGAATGTGATGCTTTTGATTTTATTAAAGCTCTTATATTATTGGTTTAAATTGTTGTTTTTGCAGCAGTACAAGGTTCACACATTAGGTTGTCATGGCAAAAAAGTTGTAAAATTGTCTAAACAGAAAAGGGATATATCACAATGTAATCATGTTAATGCCTATGTTTACATCTTGTGGCCATACTGTTTGAACAGTAAGTATTTTAATGTTTACAATTTGGCCCCATTTGCAATACGTTAATTCTGCCGTGAAGTTAGAATTCATATTTAGTGGTAATCAAAAGGATTTCACCTGTTATTTTAGTATTATTTATACTGTTATAGAAATTACTAATTTTTTTTTTTTTTTTTTTTTTTTTTTATTAATGAGGGCAGTCACGGCTCTTGTCTGTCAGTCATTTTAGTGTCAGGGTTTAATTTGGTTTTGTTTGTGTATGTTTTTTTTGACTCTCAAAGCCGTGATTCCCCTTCACTTCCATTATATATATATATAGACTGACAGACTGCAACGGTTTGAGTTAAAAAATCTTCGTTTGTGTTCTACTGAAGAAACAAAGTCACCTACATCTTGGATGCCTTGGGGGTAAGCAGATAAACATCACATTTTAATTTTTGGGTGAACTATCCCTTTAACAGTAACAAAACTGGATTTTGCACATGAATTTAATGAATTTCAGTATAAATGTTATCCCCTCTCTTGTAAATTAGATTTTTGTTTCAATCAAGTTCGTAACAATTCTCAAAGACTACCAAGAACCGTTGGATCATTTATGGCCATTATTAAAGCAAATATTCAGTAAGGTATTGGGAAACGCTGCCAGTGTGAAAACACAACGTGAGCCTGCTGCTGTAGCGTGAGCGTGCGGTGCAAAACAGGCCATATTGTTGATCCCTGTGGAGTATTGCTCCAATTTTTCTGTGCATAGGAGAGAAGTCTTGTGCTATAATGACTTGTTGACAGTCAGCTCTGACATCTGACTTTTCCTGCTGCTTTCCTCTCATTCTTCCTCTCTGTTCTAGAGTGATGAAATTACTGGGGCTGAAGCTGGTGGGCAGAAACCATTACGACCCCAACGCTGTAGTGATTCTCGGCAAACACAGGTATTCTGCACTGACCTGATTGTTGTCTGTGATTGCGATCCAACCAGAATTGCTGTGCTCCACCTTGTTTGGTTTCACACCGACTCAAGATTCAGTATTTTTTAGAGGTCGACTGATAGTGGATTTTGCCGTCAACTATCGGTGCCGATTAATCGGCAAAACCGATACAGCGGTCGACCTCTAGTATTTTTCCACCTGACCTATGATTACTGGATGTGTTTGAACCGTTTCAGCACCACTTCCAATAATGCTTTGCATATTGATTCTCTGTCCAGGATCCTTGTGATAGTTTGTACCTAACTGTGTTTGTAAATGCGTGTCCATCAGGCTTCAGGTGTGGCCTGGATACTCCACCAGTATCAAGCACACTGATGGCGGCCTCTACCTCATTGTGGACGTCTCGCATAAGGTGCTGCGAAATGACTCTGTGCTGGATGTGATGTGAGTTTCAGTTGTAATCAATCATTCTGACATGCCCACATGTATGAATCGGTGCCACTTTGTCAGCTGAGTGTTTCGTTCCACTTCAAAGCTGTTCCAACATCTAGTGAGTAGCCAATCTAGAAAAAAGGAAAACTATGTATTTTTAAAATAAATAGGTTTATTTTTTGATTATTAACAAAACTTATTCTAGTGCAGCATTAAGCATTGCCCGTTTCACTTAAATTGTAAGTGCATCACTAAAGCAGTTTTTTTTTGTGCTAATCAAAGTTATTTTACCAGTGTTATTGTTGTAGTATTATTATAGTATTAATCAATAAAAAAATATATTAATAAAATTAATATTTTTAAATTGGCCAAATTCTAGTGCAGCATTGAGCATTGCTTCTAATCATTCATAGCAAAGACAATAGCAATATTCTTTGCCACAAGCTCAAGTGAAAAAAATAATCTAATATAGTAGAAAAAGTGAGAGAAATTTAGTATTTCATTTAGTTCAGAGTGGTATGGATGAAAAAAATCCAAAAACTAATTAAGGATTGACTATTTTACCCAAACATTATATCTATACTATGGACTTCTTGAAGTAATGCATCATTACTTCATAAACTGGGTTGAAATATTAGAATTAAAGATCTTTTACATGGTTTATCTAAATTCTTTCAGAATTTGTTTGTTTGTCATTACTCTGTTGTTGCCATCAGATAGCATTTGATGCTGACGTGGCATAAAACATTTTTTTTATTCAAATTAAAAAAATTCTAAATTGACCTGCAGTTCATTTCAGTTAAGATGCCATTTATGTTGACGCAAGTGTTAGAGACCATTGGTGATGTGACAAGCAGAGCTCAACTTTATGAAAATAAGCAGCGTTTTTCACAATGCAACAATGCAGTGACTAGGAATGGAAGTGCAGACAGCATCATGTGATATAGAGTAGCAGCCAAGAGCTCAGAGACTGTCTGATCTGCTGTGAGTGTTAGACAGCAATGCAGCTCATAGGTTTTGGATCAGAACTCATCTGTATAAAATGTTTGAAATGCATGCTAAATTTTAGGCTAAAATCATGTCATTTGCTTAACCCTGCTGTCTCTGAATAACCGTGTGTCTGCTGTAGGAACCTGATTTACCAGGGAAGTCGTGAGAGCTTTCAGGACGAATGCACAAAGGAGTTTGTCGGCTCAATCGTCATCACGCGCTATAATAACCGCACTTACCGTATCGATGACATCGAGTGGTCCAAGTCTCCCAAAGACACTTTCACCTTGGCTGACGGAACTGTGACCACGTTTGTCGATTACTACAGGTTCATCTGCTATGTGGAGAACCCGCTTCTCTGATTTAAGACCTGAATGCATGTAAAAGACACAACAGCTGGACCGTAACTTGTATAACTGGATATATACGATGCACATGACATTGCTAAAGTTCATACATTCATAAATAATAGCTCATTATAATAGCAGAGACAGATATATGCTAGTTTAGAGTGACAAATTACTGTTTTATTGTTTGTTTTGTCAATTTTCTGATTAGCTTTTTATATGCACAGAAAGAACTATGGCATCACCATAAAGGAACTGGACCAACCACTGCTCATCCATCGTCCAAAAGAGAGGTCCAAACCAGGAGGAAAGGTGATAAAATGCTTTTCAGGATTTCTGGAACGGAATGTGGTGCTGTTTTGTTTGCTTATGTTTTGGGTTATTAAAAAGCTTTAGAATGACAGTAGCTGCGTTTAAATGGACCCTACTAATCCGATCGTAATGGGACTAGAAGCACAATCAGAATAAAAAAGTCACATGTAAACACGTCAATCGGATTGAATTGGCCAGATCCGACTAAATATTTAGATCAGATTTTAAGGGGTGGTTTATTCCTTTTGTAATCCGAGCGAGAGGACATGTAAACACTTGATCGGATTGAAAACCGAAACTGGAAAGTACTGCGCATGCGCAGTGACGTAGAAATAGCGTAATGACGAATGACACGCGGAACGAGCTGTTCATCCTGGATGAAGTGTCATAAATGAGTGTCCAGTCATTATAAAACTCCCCTTTCACTCAGCAGCGCAACGTCCCACCAGTCCTTGTTTAAAGGGGTCATATGATGCGATTTCAATTTTTCCTTTCTCTTTGGAGTGTTACAAGCTCTTGGTGCATAAAGAAGATCTGTAAAGACTAAAGTCTCAAATCCAAAGAGATATTCTTTATAAAAGTTAAGAGTTAACCACACCTACCTAAAACGGCTCGTTCTAACACACCCCCACATATCTACATCACTATCCGCTGCATGTGGGTCAGTGGTGGTTTGAATGGCATGGGCTTAACTGAATTCAAACTCCTGCCATCTAGTGGTGTCATTGGGTACTGTTCTGTAACAGTTTATTTGGCCTGATTAATATTAATATAATAATATTTATATTAATAATAGATAAAGTGAACTACATCACACATCTGGGTGGCACAGGTGAATTAAGGAAATGTACCAGTCATATACACTACCACTTAAAAGATTGGAGTCGGTAGATTGATTTTTTTATTTTATTTTTTTTCAGGAGAAATGAATACAGGCGCATCTAAAAAAAATAGAATATCATGGAAAAGTTCTTTATTTTTTCTAATTTAATTACAAAAAGCAAACTTTCTTATATTCTAGATTCATTGCACACAAACTGAAATATTTCAAGAGGTTTTTTTTGTTTTAATTCTGATGGTTACAACTTACAGCTTAAAAAATTTGAATATTTTCTCAAAGATCAATCAAAAAAAATTTGATTTTAATTACGTTTTTAATTAAGTTTAATTATGCACTCAATACTTGGTTGGGGCTCCTTTTGCACGAATTACTGCTTCAATGCGGCGTGGCATGGAGGCGGTCAGCCTGTGGCACTGCTGAGGCGTTGTTGAAGCCCAGGTTGTTTTGATAGCGGCCTTCAGCTCGTCTGTATTGTTTGGTCGAATGTTACTTATCTTCCTCTTGACAATACCCCATAGATTCTCTATGGGGTTCAGGTCAGGTGAGTTGGCTGGCCAATCAAGCACAGTAATATCATGGTCTGCAAACCAGTTAGAAGTAGTTTTGTCACTGTGGGCAGGTGCTAAGTCCTGCTGCAAAATGAAATCAGCATCTCCAAAAAGCTTGTCAGCAGAAGAAAGCATGAAGTACTCTAAAATCTCCTGGTAGACGGCTGCATTGATTTTGGACTTGATAAAACACAGTGGGCCCCAGTCTTCCTCCAGACTCTGGGACCTTGATTTCCAAATGAAATGCAAAATTTACTTTCATCTGAAAAGAGGACTGTGGACCACTGAGCAACAGTCTAGTTCTTTTTCTCCTTAGCCCAGGTAAGATGCTTCTGACGTCGTTTCTGTTTCAGAAGTGGCTTGATAGCCCTTTTCCTGAAGACGTCTGAGCATGGTGGCTCTTGATGCACTGATTCCAGCTTCAGTCCACTCCTTGTGAAGCTCTCCCAAGGTCTTGAATCGGCTTTACCTGACAATCTTCCCAAGGCTTGCACCATCCCTGTTGCATGTGCACCTTTTCCTACCACACTTTTTCCTTCCAGTCAACTTTCTATGAATATATTTCGGTTCAGCACTTTGTGAACAGGCACCCCTTTCAGCGATGACCTTCTGTGGCTTACACTCCTTGTGAAGGGTGTCGATTGTCTTCTGGACAACTGTCAAGTCAGTAGTCTTCCCCATAATTGTGGTTGCATGTTCTAAACTAGCCCAGGAGGTACCCAGTATTTATACTCAAAATTAATAAAACTAATCAAGCTCAAAATGGAATATTCTAATTTTTTGAGATATTTAATTTTTAATTTTCCTAAGCTGTAAGTCGTAAACATCAGAATAAAAAAAAAAAAAAAACTATTTTAATATTTCAGTTTGTGTGCAATGAATCTAGAATATAAAAAAGTTTGCTTGTATGAATTAAATTACAAAAAATAAAGAACTTTTCCATGATGTTCTATTTTTTAATGCACCTGTATATTCAGCATTAAATTGATCGAAAGTGACAGTAAATATATTTAAAATGTTACAAAAGATTTATATTTCAAATAAAGGCTGTTCTTTTGAAGATTCTATTCATCAGAGAATCCTGAAAAAAAAAAATCACAAAAATATTAAGCAGCACAACTGCTTGTAACATTAATAATAATGAAATGTGTTCCTTAAAAAACAAATCAGCATTTTAGAATGATTTCTGAAGGATTCCGAATTGCTGAAAATTCAGATTTGAAACACAGGAATAAATTACACTTTTAAATATTAAAATAAAAAAAGTTATTTTCAATATTTCACAATATTGCTATTTTAATTTTATTTTTGATCAAATCAATGCAGCCTTGGTGAGCAGAAGTGACTTCTTTCAAAGCATTAAAAAATCATACTGATCCAAAACTTTTGAAATCTATTTAACAGGATTTTCCTCCAACTGGGTCATGCAGTGTCAAATCAACCAAATTTCAGAAACGTCCCCAGCTCAAATTTTTGATTTTGCTAAGATTTTTTCTGAAGAAAGATAAACACGTATGGTGATGAATGCCAAAATATTAGGGTTAGTAATTCACTATTTTGTAGAGGGGGGTGTTAAAATAACAATTTTCACCTGATATTCAGAGTCAAATAACAGGGCGGTCAAAAGTACTTTAGAAAGCATGCTTTAGGCAGCATCATTATGTTATTTTTACACCGAGATTGGTTGGTCTGTTAGTAAAATCTGTCGACTTGAGCAGTCTTTGTTGCATTATAGTATGTGCCAATAGTGACCATTCAAAAATGGGGAAAAGGTACATTTCAAGCTTATTCTCAAAAGTCTGCATGCCTGTAACTCAAGAAATATTAAAGATATCTTAATTCCCTTTTAGATATTTGGTCTTAACAAACTTTCTTTTGGCATCTTCATTTTTAAAGCCCTATGGTTCAGTTCCGGAGATATTAGAATTTCAATATGGCTTCAGGAGTAAATTGTTAAAGGGGTCATATGATGCTGCTAAAAAGAACATTATTTTGTGTATTTGGTGTAATGAAATGTGTTTATGCGGTTTAAAGTAAAAAAAACACATTATTTTCCACATACTGTACATTATTGTTTCTCCTCTATGCCCCGCCTTTTTGAAACGCGTCGATTTTTACAAAACTGGGGGCGTGTTCGAACGAGCCGTTTTAGGTAGGTGTGGCTAACTCTTAACTTTTATAAAGAATATCTCTTTGGATTTGAGACTTTAGTCTTTGCAACTTTACAGATCTTCTTTATGCACCAAGAGCTTGTAACACTCTAAAGAGAAAGGAAAAAATGAAATCGCATCATATGACCCCTTTAAAGTGTACACATTTTCAGTGTGGTCAAAAACCAAATGTGGGTCACTTCGCATACAGATGATACTTTTCCTTTAAAGAAGAATATCTGAATAACAAATAATGTTGAAACTAGAAATGAATCTTGTTTCCTTTTGTCAAAACAGCTGCATTGAACATACCTGTCTGAGTGACATAAATATTCGTTTTCCAAAGTACTAGGATGTGAATTTATTATGTGTAATACTAAGTACATGTGAATTTGATCCGTTTCATAACAGGTTATAACGGGTGAAATCCTGCTGCTGCCGGAACTCTCCTTCATGACCGGCATCCCTGAAAAAATGAGGAAAGACTTCAGAGTCATGAAGGTACAAATCAGTTACAAGTCAAACCATTCTCAAACACAGTCAGGTGGGTGAACGCTTTATTTTGCAAACTGTTCAGATATGTGACCCAGGACCACAAAACATAAGTCATAAGGACAATATTTGGCCGAGATGCAACTATTTGAAAATCTGGAATCTTGAGGGTGCAAAAAAATTATAATATTAAGAAAATCGCCTTTAAAGTTGTCTAAATGAAGTCCTTGGCGATGCATATTACTAATCAAAAATTAAGTTTTGATATATTTACGGTAGTAAATTTACAAAATATCTTCATGGAACATGATCTTTACTTAATTTCCTAATGATTTTTGGCATAAAAGAAAAATCGATAATTTTGACCCATACAATGTATTTTTGGCTATTGCTACAAATATACCCCAGCGACTTAACACTGCTTTTGTGCTCCAGGGTCACATATGGTTGTCTATTCGTCTTGTGTTTCAGGATCTGACCATGCACATCAATGTGGGAGCCGAGCAGCACACCCAGAGTCTCAAACAACTGCTGCACAACATCAACAGCAATAACGAAGCGGTCTCCGAGCTGGCCCGCTGGGGCCTCAGCATCAGCCAAGAGATTCTAGTGGTGAGAATGGAAACACGCACCTGACAGTGTAGTTCAGAGAACTTTTTGTGCCTTCGGTGTAGGGCTTGGCGATAATTCGATAACGATAATTATCGAGATATAATTTTCCTTGATAAAACTATATGAATAGTTCGATATAATGTTGTGCCAAAAGCGGAACGAAACAGCTCGACTCATTTGAATCGCGCCACACAGACCGTTTATCCGCTCGGATCAAAGTTCAAACTATATGTGTGGTTTTAACTGTGTTTATCATGATTTAAATTTATGCAACTATGGGAGACCAATGCTTAATTAAAAATAAATAAATAAAAACTTGGTCAGAATAAATTTAACCATATAAAACTGAGATTGCTACAATTTTTACAGATGTTACTGGTTTTGATAATGAAAAAAATTTACCTCCGCATCCTAACTCGAACTACTATCAAATGTGCATTTCTAAGAGACAAAAAAGTGATATTATTATTATTAATATTATCAGGCAACCCAAACCTGTTTCTTGATTTGAAACAATATCACTCATTAGAACATGCAGAAACTAAGAAATACATTTTTCTATTTAGATATTTATTTTGTTAAATCATTATAATGAGCCCAAATTAATGGTCTGGTTTCTACAACTTTCACTTTGGAGCAAAAATCTGGCTTAAACTTGAAGGAAATAAAGATTTGACATTTATCGTGATAATTATCGATATCGACTGATATGAAAAAATCATCGTGATTAATATATTATATTTTAAAATGTAATTTATTTCTGTGATCAAAGCTGTTCAAAAGAGCGTCGAAATAGTAAATTTTACTGTCACTTCTGACAAGTATTAATTTCTTTCAAAAGAAAAAAAACATTACTGACACATCCTTTGCATTAAAGTGCTATACGTCCACAGATCCATCGTCATTTTCAAAATACAAAATGTTCATTTTAACCCCTATTATAATGTTTCTAGATATATTATATTGCATTATTCTATATAGTTTATTATATATTCTTGTACTATATATCAGTTATCATTATCATTAATATTATTAAAGTCACTTAAAAATGTATATAGCATTATAGCACTTTAATGTTTTTATTTTTAGGATTTAATGGCGTTTTCTTGAATTATTGTTAGGGCTGTCACAATTCCTCAATTAAATTTGAGTACTCTATTATAAAAAATACTTGATTGCATTTTGCCCGGCCGATGAACTGGCAAAATATATGAAGTGAAGCACGAAATATTAAAACCATTTAAAAATCGTAATAAAAGAGAGTGCTATTATGAATTCACAAAGGCTGCGATTAAACAAAAATATGCGTTGCAGGTTTAATATGCGTGTAGGTTATGTGCATCTTGGAGCGGCTCCATTCACAGTAAATGCTGCTCCACACAAACAGTTATCATTCACATGCAAACTCCATCTCTGCATATGCTGTGAGTCTGATTTGCGTATAACGTTCATATGGGAACAATGTGCTCCATTCTATCAGATTTATACGGTAAATCATTTACAAACCTACGCCAACACAGCAGAATACATCATCTTTCTAAATAATACTAACTGTTTGTGACTTCAAAATAAAACCTTTGCGTTTGCATGTTTTGATGTCCACATGTTCTTGATGAAGAAATGACTGTAGCATTTATATCATAAAAAAGTGGCCAAATAAGAAAGATTAAGTGGACATTTGATTTTAAATGTTGGTTAGTCAATATTAAACAAGGATTAGATCATGCTGTAAAGGCATTTGATATAATACATAATGTACATAAGTTGTGATGATTATTGTTTTATTACTATATTATATATTTCAACTTTTGTTCAATAAATCCATATGATTGCTTGCTTTTTATATTTTATTTGAAACTATTTTTATTGCCTTGTTGCTATTATGTATGTATTTTAAGTCATTTTGAAGTCTATTGTTTGCTTAGGTCTGTTTTTATTTCCTCAATTTTTCAGAATAATCGACAGATTACTCGATTACCAAAATAATCGTTAGAGACAGCGATAAATATTGTATTTACCTGAGAGAAACCCAACAGTACCTGACAAATATCCATATACGGTTTTGTTTTTTGTGCCCGTTTTAAATGTAAAACAACAAAAAGATTACCATTTATAATGCAAATACACTTTCTTTTTGTTTTGAGTCAGAGTCTTTATGGATCGGTTAGAATCTAAATATAAAGCAGGGGGGGAATGAAAACTAGTTAATTCAAGCATTATTGTTATGTGTATGTATTTTTAAATCTCGACAGTGAAATGGAACATGTTTGAAAGAAAAAAAAGAATCCCTCATGTTAGCAAATGCAAGTAGTTTTGAACAATCACTAATGTTGGCATATTTGTCCTTTTCATTAATTGTATTAACTGTATTGATGTGCATACTGTCTTTTTTGTTCATGATACATTGGTGTGTTTGTAGCTAACATGAATTACTTAAACATTTTGTTTCTCCACAGACTCAAGGAAGAACTCTGCCCAGCGAGACCATCTGCTTGCATTCAGCTTCTTTTGTCACGTCTCCGGCAGTAGACTGGTCCAGAGAGGTGGTTCGAGACCCCTCCATCAGCACTGTGAGTCAGCACAGTCAGTGTAGGGTGTTTGAACGAAATCACTGAGAGTCGTTGGTTTGTGGGTGAGTGCACATGTCAGACTGATCAGAGGAGGTGGACTGCAGAACCTGCATGTTTTCAAAGGCTGGAGGTCTCACACCACAGAAAGAGAACAGCCTTGTTTGGCTTGAGTGAAAGAAATGTGTGGATTGAATTTGCACATTTTGTTTGAGGCACATCACACGTAGGTATTAAAGGGGTCATGAAATGGTCATTCCTGAGGTGTGCTTATCTTAATATGGTTCACCAGAAACGGTAATGATTTACATATAAATGGTCATTTTGTACCCTCTGATTTAAGCATGAAAGGGCATGTCTGCTGTGAGACTTCAATGTAAATGCCCACTGGTATGATTGGCTAACATCTTTGCACATGAAATAAGTAGGACTGTCACTAACAATTATTTTGGTAATCAAGAAATCGGTAGATTATTCTGACAAGTAATCATGTAAAAAAAAAAAAAAAAATTTTTTTTTGAGGTAATAAAAATAGAACTAAGCAAGCAAAAGACTTTAAAGACTTAAAATATATATAATAGCAACGAGGCATTGATAATTGGTTGAAATTAAATATCAAAAACAAGTATTCATATGGTTTTATTGAACAAAACCGTTAAAATACATAATGTAATCAAACAATATAATCATAGCTTATCTACATTATGTGTTGTATCAAATGTCTGCAGAAGGCACCAAAGGACTGATGGTGGTTTTTACACTTTCCCGCGATCTAATATTTGTTTAATATTGACTAAACAGCATTTAATTCAATTGTCTGCTTAATCTTTAATATTTGGACACTTTAAGTCAGAAATGCTACAACCACTGTAAACTCTTGAATATGTGGACATCAAAACATGTAAACTCAGAGCGAGGGTTTAGACTTTTATTTTGAAGTCGTGACGAACAGTTTGCATATTTAGACTTCACACGATACCAAATCCAGGCGTTTCAGAAGGGCCGAAAAGAATAATTCACATTTTAAACTGGGGAAATAGTTTTGAGTTTTGAAACGCTGAGTTTTTTTTATTAGAGTAACATCTTATATGTGAAAATATGATAAATGAATCAATTTCATGACCCCATTAATGTATGAGGCTTTGAAAAAACACCGAATAGAATTTCTGAACTAAATGACTCTTATGATCTGATTCGTTTTAGTGACTTCAAAAACGTATAGCTGGATTAGTATAGTCTGATTACTGAACAAAATGCCTTTTACAGTAGAGACGGTTAATTTGAATGAATTAGAAACACATAGCTGGACCATGCAAGTCTGATTTTTGAATAAGATGACTCTTGGGTTCATTTTAGTGAATCAAAACATGCTCTTATGAACTTATGAAAAAGATGATCATTATAGTGTAAAAATGATCTTTGGATGTTTTGAACTCGACAGAATGGAAAGCCCCAATCTCATTCTCTCACACTGCTCTTATGTAGTTCTTCCTGTCTACTGTATTTGTCTCCGGATTGCTCTCTTGTCAGGTTCCTCTGAACTGCTGGGCTGTTTTCTATCCCCGGCGGGCAACCGATCAGGCAGAGGAGCTCGTGACTACTTTTACGAGGGTAGCCGGACCAATGGGCATCAGAATTGAGCGGCCCATCCGCGTAGAGCTACGGGATGATCGAACCGAGACCTTCGTCAAGAGCATTCACTCTCAACTCACCAGTGAGGTGGGGAAGTGCACTACACAGAGAGACTTGGAAAAACTGTAATGAAAGAGCTTTGGAACGTTTACTGTTCTCTCAGAGAGCAGTGTTACTCTCTATGGGCCATGGCTCTTTTGGCTTTGTAGTGCATTGGGGTATTATCTAAATACCGTAGTATATAGTATATTGTCTCTCCTGGTTTTCAGCCCCGTGTGCAGCTGGTCGTGTGCATTATGACCGGAAACAGAGACGACCTGTACAGCGCCATCAAAAAGCTCTGCTGCATCCAGAGTCCAGTACCATCACAGGTTTCATCGAAACACAATTCCTTTGCATTTCATTGTTCAGTTGCTGTTTATGTAACACATACACTACTGTTCAAAGATTTTTTTAAATGTTTTTGAAAGAAGTATCTTATGCCCACCAGGGCAACATTTATTTAATAAGAAATATTTTGTAATATTGTGATATGGTTTTATATTTTAGTATATATTAAAATGTATTTTATTCCTGTGATCAAAGCTGAATTTTCAGCATCATTACTCCAGTCTTCAGTGTCACATGATCCTTCAGAAATCTTTCTAATATGCTGATTTGCTGCTCAAGAAACATTTCTCATTATTATCGATGTTGCGAACAGTTGTGCTGCTTGAATAGAGAGTTCAGAAGAACAGCATTTTTTTACATTTTGTATTTACTCACTTTTGTTCAGTTAAATGCATCCTTGCTGGACAAAAGTACATTTCCTCAGCCTTTAAAACGATGTTGTAAACGTTATTTCAATGTTTTGCCTGAAAGATAATACCTCTGACCACTTCATTTGTACTGAAATTCAATTTTGAATTATTTTAATATATTTTTAATCCCATGTCAGTGGAATTATTTAGCTGTTAAAGGGTTAGTTCAACCAAGAATTACTCACCCTCATGTCGTTCTAAACCCATAAGACCTTTGTTCATCTCCGGAACACAAATTAAGATATTTTTTATGAAATCTAAGAGCTCTTTTACCCTGCATAGACAGCAATGGAACTACCAAGTTCAAGGCCCAGAGAGGTAGTAATTAATGACAGAATTTAAATTTTTGTGTGGACTAGCCCTTTAATTAGCTGGGGGTTTTTTGCCTTGCGTATTTGTGGCAGCATGTATTCATATTAAACATTTCACATCTGTGACACTTATTCCCAGGCCATCAACGTACGGACCATCTCGCAGCCACAGAAGCTCCGCAGCATCGCTCAAAAGATCCTTCTGCAGATTAACTGCAAACTGGGAGGAGAGCTGTGGACGGTAAATGTTCCTCTGGTGAGTGTGTGCTAATCAGACCTTTTTCCCCACGGGTGGCCCTAAAGTTACCCTACTGTATCACGCTCTTGATTAAAAAATGCTAAAGTAAATATGGAGTATCAGGAATGAACCTGAAAATGGTCACTGCACTGTGAGAACTGATATACGATAGCTAGGTGTGATCCATTTTCTGTTTATTTTTTTTAATGCATTGTTGGTCAAGTTTCAATATTTATTCCTAGGTTCACATCTTGACTTTTATTACCTAGACACCAGCCGCAACAAACTCATTAATAGTCTTGAGCTGGTGGGAGAACATTATAATATCATTAATATTAAAATGGACTAAGTCTTTTCTTTCTTGTTTTTCAAACTTTAATTATTTGTTCACAAGTTTTAAATAACCTATAATGGATTAAATATGATGTAATTAGGGCTGGGTAAAAAATATCGATATCTCGATATTAATCGATTCTCATTTTTACGGAACGATATCGATTCTTAAATCCCAAGAATCGATTAGTCCTGTTTTCAGTTAATGGACGGAACGTTGAAGGTCACCTCCCATCCAATATATTGCAATAAGCATTGTGCTTTGGTGCTTTTAATATGAAACAAAGTCTCAGATTTAAATTTCTGTCCGTTGTATTGCAGTATTCAAACAATAAATACCGTTTTGGCGCTGTTTAATGCGGAGTGACAGATCGTTGTAGCGCCTCGATCATCAGACGCGGCAGCGCGAGGCGCACGTGAACTGATCATCTCCTCCACATTAATACAAGTTTCAGCACAAAATAAACATGACTAAACATCCGAAGGTAAGTTAAAAGAAAGAGTACAATGTCACGTAACGTCACATTTACCTCAGAAAAACATATTTGGTGACCATAAACTCATTAGTCAGATAGAAAAATAAACTGTAGAGAGGGGTATTTTGCTAAATA